CCACCTCTATTTGAATTGGAGGCTAGAAAAGACTTTTAAAATGGCCTTGTGAAGCTAAAAAAGTCGAGTACAACAACATTCTCGAAAACAACCAACCCGGAGATACGAGATGGTGATAGACTTTAAAACACTTGAGCCGTTAATTTTAATATGTAGACAACCAAATGAGCATGAGTGACAACACTAAATGAATGTAAACAAATACATAATCCCGAAACTTGACGTCAATTCTCCCCCCCCCCTCTGTCCAAACAAATGACTTGGCACATTCTAGCGCGATAGGCATAGTTCAAAAATCTCTCCGATGTGTTTCCATATTCTAGTTAAACAATAGGAGCATAGAGTTCATGAAAACATACAGATATTACTGTCCGAATCTGAAGAAGAATCAGGATTTCCACCTTCCACACCCTCTGGCTTTGATTTAACAGCAGCGGCCTTTTCAGTAGTTGTCAATGAGTCCAAAATATCCTTCCATCGCCTACCCAACAAACACTTAACCAGAAATTGCATCTGCATTCGAATGCTATTGAATAGGCGATCCAGGCTATTGGTGATAATTTTCCTATCCGTGATCTTGGGATTTTCAAAGGCTCGTGACAACTTGTCCTCATAATCTCGACGCTATACAATAAAGTGGCAAACATAAAGGTAGAGTAAGTAAGTACACGAGATTCTTTCGACAATAGTACTAGTATTAATTGAATGGCTATTGGTGAGACCACCATTGACGTACCAAATTTGAAATGAGATCAGGAATGTCTTGGTCCTCAGCCTTATAAATGTCCAGATCGAATTCCAGAGACTCGCCATCGTCCAGTCCCAATTCTTGAAGCATTTTGCGATCTCGAAAGCGAAGACGCAAGTTAAAGCGAGGATTTCGAGTCTCCGTGTTAGCCAATGACTTAACAAATCTCTCCAATACTTCGGCTCGATCTGCTCCCGGTTCGTAGTTGGGTTCAACTTCAACGGGCATAACTTTCGGCTAGAAGGGAGGAGAAATGAGATCATTCAAATGGAGCCCCCCTTAAGCAGTAAAGAAAGGATGAGCAAACTACAGATAGCTTTTAATGGAGAGGGGGGGGATTAGGAGCAAAGGTCGCTTCTTTCCCTTTCGTCAACTCAGCTCCAGAGACGATTGCCGAAATACGTTACATCGATTTCAAATTCTCAGCAGCAGCAACAGCAGAAGCACCTATCAAACTTTTAGGCCAAAAAATAAACAACTTTTTTTCTTCCTAATTAGCATAGAAAATAGAAAAGAGTAGGAGAGCAATGTGGTTGGTACTAAAGTGAAAAAATTACAAAAAGAAAAAAAACTATGACACAACTAGTTACCAGCTGGTATGTAGGGGCTAACTATGCAAAACAAACCTCAAAATGTGTTCTCAATTTGGACTAGGATTAGAAATGATATAAACAGGTCATTATTACTATGCATAAGGGACAATTACGAAATTTAACACGTGAACGATAAGGGACAAGGAGCACAAGAAAGACATCGCCATCACGTGTGTGACAACCACAAAAACCGAATTCGGCATTTAGGGATTACTTTTTCAATAGTAAACAAAAAAACCGGCCTGATAAGGAACTGGGAAAGTTTTTCTTTTTGAAAAGCCTCTAACAGTCAGTTCATAGGGCTAAGCGCTCATTTATAAGTCAAGCAGTATCGACTAATACCTGGAAGAGAGGATGGCAAAAGAGTTCCTCAGCAGTAGGTCTAAAGCAAGCTAGTGGGTGTATGCAAGCGGAGATGACAACAGCAATGTTGGGATTATTGATAAGATGCATAATCTCTGGCCCATGACCTGACATTGTCTTTGCCGCGGCATCGATTAGTGTAGCGCATTCATCGTAGGGTGTTCGATTAGTCATTACCTCAAGCATTAGCATTCCAAAAGCGTAAATATCCACCTTCTCATCGTACATTTCATCAAATATTTCTGGAGCCATGAAACCAACAGTACCTAAAGAGTGAAAAATACACTATCAATCAAGTTCAACATCCATCCTTGGGTGAAATAAAAGCAACCTAGAGCCTTTCTGATTGAATAACCCACATCCTAGCTCTACCTAATTATTGTTGATTACTCATCTCTGTTCCTGGATTACCACTGACGGCATCCATGCCGGTGTATCACTGACTGATAAACTGCTTGAGGGCTTCAATGCATAAGAAGCTCACACCCACTATCCCTCTCTCCCCACGTTAACTAATCAAGTGGACATTTTTAACCGATACGCCACCGATGCATAGCCAATAATGATAGAACTTACCAAGCATAGTTTTTCTTCCACTGCTCCCAACCTGAGTTGCCAAACCAAAATCCCCGACCTTCACATTGATATAATCATCATTAGAAGTGCCGTAAAGGAAACAGTTCTCGGATTTCAAGTCTCTATGAATGATGGGTTCTTCACAATGAACGTGTAAATATCTCAGCGCATCCAGAATCTGATGCCACCACCGAACAATCAATTGGAACTTGAGAATACACTCTCCATTGACGAAATTTTTCTTTATCATTCTTAATTTATAAAAAATAAGCGATAAAGGAGATAGACCCACTGTTTTAGAGTTCCTTCAGACATCAATTCTTGAACAATAATGAGTCCCTTCTCGTCAATAGGGTTATCAACAGTCTCCTCACTAATCCACTCTCGAAAAACATCGTAACATTGAACAATGTTTGGATGGTTCAACTTGAGCATAATCTCCGTTTCACGAAACATTACCTGACGTTTTTCTTTGGTATCAACATGCTCGTGTTTGAACTCACACCAAGCAACATTTTTGGCATCATGCCTATCATATCCACGATAAACAAACTTGTAACCACCTTCACCAATCTAAAGAAATTGCAGATACGAGATAACGGAAAACAGAATTATAGCCTTACCTTGACACTATTTTTCAGCCATCTCCCACCCTTTGAATATCCAATGACTCTTTGCTTAGCCTCTTGTTCGGCTATGTACTTCTTTAACATCTCCTGTTCCTTTTTCTTTTCTTTCTCTTTCTTTCGTTCTTCCTTTATTTTAGCAGCTTCACTTGCAGCGGTGTCATTTGTGGTTACAGAACCAGCCTCTGCACTATCCACAGCAGATAAATTTGAATGCCCAGAGACAGGTTTGGACTCGATTGCATCATTGTCAGAATCAGTCCCTTTTGGATCGAGGATAACAACTTTTTTAGAACCACCTAATTTTGATTCTGACCTATCGTCAGAAGGTGATCTGTTTTCTAATAAAACACGCAAAACAATAAATCAAAATAACAAATAGAAACAAAAAACAAACTAAACAAGCGTACTCTTTTTCCGAGATGGTGGAATTGGTGGATTCAATGTCTCAGCTTTATCATTTAGATCTAGATTGGGCGGAAGCGGAGGGACTTGAGATCCATCAGTATGATCAGAACACATTCTAATATTATCAAAAGAAGAAGTCTTTAATGGGTTGCAAATAGAGTCTAACTGTTTTAATAGTAAGTAATTATTTCATATTTTAAAAGAAAAAATGCTAAATAACACGCCATACCTTAGAATGCAGAAGAAAAACCTTCGCAACGCCAAAATTGTTTATACTGAGCGTACGAGTTTGAAACATTAAAACACTAAATTTTCTTTTGTTTATTAAATCCCATGTAAAAATGTTTTATATTATAGCATTTTAACATTTACTTTGATGATTTTATTTTTTTTGAGAATCTTAAGATAAAATATGTACAAGGAAAATTATCTTGGAAAGTTATTTGATTCAAATGACATCCTTGAATTCGTATATTTTTAAGATAGAACTTGTTTGACTGTGTTTCATATTAATGCATATTTTATTTACTCTTTCCAACATACATCATTGTGGAGAGACAACTTATAAATTTAATAATAAAATTAATAATCTTAAAGACTTACCATTTACTTTAAATAAATCTTAATATGTGTAATTATAAAATAAATAACTCAATGCCATTATGTAGCATTTCTATGCTTTACAATGCAGGCAAATTCTAAAGCTCAATATAAAACGTAAATACATTTTAAGGAAGTTCAAACTTAATATTGTGCAAAGTACGTAAAACTAGCATACTTTAGCAGCTGCACAATGTTAACGAATAATATTTAAATTACATTTCCTTAAATAATAATATATCATTTTCGTCCAATACCTCAGGTCTAGAGTTTTTGTGAATTCGGTCGAGCTTTAAGTCTCATTGCACCTGCCTTTATAATCTTTTGAATCGATGAAATTAAAATCAAGACAATGAGCCTTGAAACGCAAGGATTAGAGTGGTGACTGACGCCCGGATAGACCCTCTTCAATTCCGTTTGGAGTTCAAAAATAAGGCAAGTTTCCAAGAGCATAGAGGTTTGCGATAGTGCACAATGATTAGGATAGCAAAATAGTGAACCTTTTCTCTGCCTCTCACCTTCGTGACATCGCAAATTTCTTATTCACATTCCCACTAAGTTATTTTTATTGATCTGAGAATAAAAAGTTATGATAGGGCAATATATTTTGACGAAAGTTCTCAGATCCTGTCAAAGAGGACTGAGCTACAATTTTGGTACAAAAACATTTGGTGAGCTCTGACTGGAAAATATCTAATACTTAATGGGCATAAACTCATCCTATTTGAAATTGAATTCTCCAGGATAAGATACATTATTCCAATGCTGGGCCCCCAAATACTGTGGAAGAAATGAATTTTAGTTTGACACCAATGAGTGGGATCATGGAATCATTTGTTTAGCCTTACTTGCACGTTTTGTAAACACCTTTAATACTCCACCTTTGCAAAAATAAATGGATTTAGTGAGGCCTACATTTTATAAATTACTTTCATTCATTATCAATCAGTTCCGACGGCTTAGGTCTTCAAACGAGCATAAATTTAGCTTGAGCGTTTCAGCATAAGACAATAGAGAAAATAATAGTAAATTTAATAGAATAAATAATAAATGATGTTAGTAGACAAGGTGTAAAAATCAGGAAATATCGTAACAACAATTTCTAAAAAAATAATCTTACGTTTTTGCAAATAAGCTCTCCAATACTTTGATCAATTTATTGTTTGTTGAGAAACAGAAGATGTTTTTGATTTCGAAAGTAAAAAAGATTAAAAAACTGGCAAATAATGTATGGAATACCACTTATCAAAAATTATATTAATCTCCTCTTTGACCACTGCTAATTGTGATAAAAATTCCAAATTTCAATCTTTTATAATGTACTCAATTCAATGACGTGATTTACTTATTGCAAATAACTAATGTGAAAAACTTTCCATTCTACATTTGCAGCAACTTTTATTGTAAGGTCCAAATTACCCTTTTCCATGGCCTTTTGTTCTAGAGAGTTTCAATAAAAAAGCAAGTGCTTGACAAAAGGTATTGGTAGGGTATTTTGATAAAATAACATTTATTTCATTGCATTCAGGCATATTGGTGTGATCTCTAAATTTATCACTGCAAAGCCTCTTAAGAAAATCCATGAATTACGCTCGGTAGAGCTTGTTTCAAATATTGTTTAAATTGAATCGAAAACAATTTTAGCTCATGGTATAAATGTCAGGGTCAATTATTATCGCATACCCTACCATCTGATTATGGGGTGTGTGATAGACATACCTCCACGTGGTGCACCCTGGGCAACGCATACTCTTACAGTAAATAGTCCATAAACCGGCAGTTGAGTTCTGACTTCAAGCTATCTTGACCCCACTTTATTTCATATCCGACCACTTCCCCACTACTCATCTTCCCTTTTCTCCACCACCTGTGTCTGTCTATCTCTTTTATGTCTTAGAATCACTCTTCTGTTCTTCCTCTCGACTGTTGTGACTTTGATGTTTCTCCCTCTGTGAAGCCCGAGGTCAACTAAAGGGCTAATGATAATGATCAAAACGCCTACCGTTTCAAAACCTATCTGATTGATCAATGTTGAACATAGTGACATAAAGTAATTCTGGAAACCACATGCTAAAATATTAGAACAAGTAATTGCGAATTACATCCATTAAATAATAGGTAGCAAATAGCTAAGCTTAAAAGTTACAACTGTTCTCCACAACACCCTAGTTCTATCTCCCGTCTTTACTGTCATTTTTTGCTGTTTTTCTTACTTAAAGACGGTTTAGTGGTTGCATGTGACCCCAGACTACTTAATCGCTGAATGGAATCAATATCTTACTTTGAGCTGATGGGCGTATACAAATTGAAACACTTTCATTTAAGAGTTGCGTTTTTTTAACTTTATCTATTCCTGAATTTTATTTTTATGTTTGAACATAATAGTAAAAGAAAAAATAGCAACCGCAGAGAATGAGAATATTAGACTTTTCCATAGAATTGACAATTGAAGGTCAACCCACCGCCAACAATTTTTGTCCAAACTAACTGCCAAGTGGTTTGATGCAACTTAGCCTACTCAGAAGCGAACTGGAGGAAATGCCCAAATCACGGAATCCTTCAACCCGAATCTTTATTACAATTTAATGCAAAACGTATCAAGTTTCGATACCTATTGACTCTCATCTAGAAATTGTGGATTTTAAAATTCAAATCAAAGAGAAATTTTCGAATTGCTATCATAGGGACCTCAAGGCAAGAAAAGAAGTCATCCATTTGAAATTATGACACGGTTTACATATTTTAAGTAGATTGCTGTTTGTGGAGCACACATTCTTAATGCGATTAAACTTCACACCTGAACATTCTAGAGGGTGCGGCCGTGCGTGCTGATAGTTGGCTATTAAAGTGTATTCAAATTATGTTCGATGCATTGCATTATTAATCCTATTTGCTGCTGTCATCATTTCAATAAACGCATTAATCGCAATACGATTACCTCATCTATGCCATTGCGATGCTTTGAGCCCGATAGCCGCTTTAAGCGAGGTGAGCTTGTCATAAAAATTATTGAGCGCATGTCAAGGTTAATCAGAGCGTCAACGCAAAAATGGTTGTAGATAAGACTGTAACGGATTGCTACCTTAATAAAGCCTGACTAACTCAGAAATCTCTATGGCAGATTCTCCAACATCTAGCTAGACTCCCAGAACCAGCTATAAAAGGAAACAGACGTGTTGCACGGAGCACGTTTATTCAGTGGGTATATTGCAGATAAAGTGTACACGCAGGGGGCTTAATCATGATCAGGATGGCGGATTAGGTTAAACAAACAGAGGTTAATGATTGGTCACTGTTTGTACGGTCGCACCTCCCAATCCTGGCGTGCAGGCATGCGACGACGTGTCCCACAAGACAATCACATATTATTAATTTCGATATTTCCTTCCTAATTTCTAATGCGTGTCTATGCCTTACTAGTCATCTCTTAGTTACAATAAATCTTTTTTTTCCAGTTATTAATGGAATATTTTATTACAATAAAAAATACTGCATTATTTAAATATTTTGTGTTGGTGTATGTTAAAATCAGATTTTCTTTAAGGGATAGCGTAGACACGTCGTAGATTAAGTGCAATTTTCACTATTTATGAAAAAAAAGAAACTCGACAATTCCATAATCTAAAACGATCCTTCCAACGTGGCA